ACATCCGGCTGCAGTCTCTTTTCTGGCCCCCGTGAAATGGGGGGCTGTGGCAGGCGGGGGGCCCCCCGGGAAGGGGGGCCCCGGGGGGGGGGGGCAGAATCCTGCTGCCCCAGGGAAACGGGCCTCCGTTTCGGTCTCTGGGACCCCAAAGGGAAGCCCCCAGGCAGCCGGAGGACTTTGGGGGGCAGGAGCTGCTTCCGCGGCCTTGATTGGCCCCGAGGTTGGGGGGGGGGCTGGGTTGGGGCTCCCCCTTTTCAAGGGGGGGGGGGGTGCCCAGCTGGAGAGGGAAGCCGGCAGGGACCGAAAGGGAGGAAATTGTTTTTCAGCCCTGTCAGGTCACAGCAGAGCTTAATTAGTAGGGAGGGATCCAGTCATCTCCAGGTCTGGCAGGTGATTATCGCAGGCGGGGAGGTTAATTGCTGCTCAAGGGGTAGAACCTGCCCGGCCTTGGCAGGGAACCACAGCTTCATGCTTTGCAGGGAGGCCCCTCCCTCCTTCCCACCTTCCTTTCCTCACGGGGAGGCTGTGGAGAAGGAACCAGCCATTTTGTGGCCTCTGTGTAGGGACAGGCGAGGTTCCCCAGAGGGCCCGAGGCCTTTGCAGGCGAGGGGGGGTGGGGGACGGTTCCCTTGGGGAGCAGGGAAGGGCCTAGGCCAGAAACGGAGGCCTGTTCCCTGAGGGCGCCTTCCTTCCCGGCCCCTTGCACGCGGGGGGGGGGGGGGGGGCCTTGGCCCCCCCCCGGGGGGCTGTGGCGTTGCTGGCCCCAGGAGGACTCCTCACCCGAAGCGCACGCCAGTCCGGGCTCTCTGCCCTTCCCCCAGGAGCCGGTCCTTGGGCAGCCCCGGGGCTCCAGGGCCCAGCGATGACGTGGGCAACCTCGTTGTTTCACCGCAGAGTCTCTGGCGAAGGCTTACGCCGGCCCTTCCAAATGGCTGGGGAACGCAGGGAGCTCCGGCGTCCTGAGCACTCCGGGCGGCTCTCAGGTCAAAGTGGTGCCCATCGCCAGCTTGAACCCTTACCAGTCCAAGTAAGTGGAAGGCTGCCCCGGCGCTGACCCTCCCACCGCCCCCTTCCTTCCCGGGGCCTGGGAGGGGTGGTGGGACAATGCCCTGCGGGGGGGGGGGGGGGTGTTGCTGTTGTGTGGCAAAGGGGCTGGCCAGCCGGCGGCATAGCTGCCTTTGAGGCTTTGAGTTGTGGCCTGTCTGGAGCTCCCCAGGGGCGGGGCGTCTGCCCAGAAGGCCGAGGTGCAGCAGTGGGGATCAAACGGGGGAGGGGGCGGGAGTGAGGAACGGGAGCCCGTCTTCCTCCCTGGTGGGGCGGAGCCAGTGCCCCCACCCTGCCCCTTGGGGCTCTGGGCCTCCCCTCTGGGGAGCGGAAGGGGACAAGTCAACAAACACAGGGAATCGTGGCCGATGGTAATCAAGTCAACCCAGAAATACAAGAGTTCCAACTACCAAATGGGGTCACCCATAAAACACACAAGCACCCGGGTTCCCCCAAAGCCCCTGCGGAGGATAAGGGCCGGCTGGGGTCCCTCTGGGCTGGCTCCAGGGTGCATTTCCCGGGGTGGAGTCTTGGGGTCTGGCCTCCCAGAAGAGCCGCTGGCAGGGCCCGGATCAGCTCCCTCCATCCACTGTCTTTCCAGGTGGACCATTTGTGCCCGGGTGACCCAGAAGGGCCAGATCCGCACCTGGAGCAACTCCCGGGGCGAAGGGAAGCTCTTCTCCATAGAGATGGTGGACGAGAGCGTAAGTGCAGGGCTCGCCCGGCTGACCCCTTTGGAAAGGCCCCGGCGGCCACTCTGGGAACGCGGAGAATCGCGGGCTGTGGGCCGGACCAGCTGCCGTTCCCTCCTCCCCGGGGCCTCGGCTTGTCGCCTGGGCAGAGGCTTTGAATGGGGCCCAGGAGGAGGGGCTGGGGGCTTGGGCTGACGTGCTCCCAGCTGGCGCAGCTGCCCTCCTGCTTCCCCCTCACAGCGAGAAAGACTCGGCCTCCTCCGACTTCTTTGGCTCCATCCCGCTGGCAGCAGCTCCATTTGCAGGAGTGGTGGCCATGCTCACCCGCTGCCCAGGCAAATGGGGAGGTGTGCCCTTGCGTGGGTGCTCGCCCACCCACCACTTCCCCTGCCGTCCAGGTGGCTTGGCCGAGCGGGATTGGCCCAGAGCTGGGGAAGGGGAGGTCTTTGGGCGCCTCTCGGGGGGGGGAGGGGAGGGAAGCTGCTTCCCCTGCCGGTTTGTATGGGGAGCAGGGGGCGGGCAGGAGCTCCAGGCCGGGCAAGGGTGGTGGGGCAGGCCGGGCAAGGGGAGATTCCGCATTCCCGGCACGTCTTTCTGCTCGGGGGGCTCCTTCCCTTCATCCGCCGCTGCCACCGGCGGGGCTTTGACTGATGGCCTTTATTGCCGTTTTCATCCTCCTCCCGCATCAACATCCTAGCTGGTGGCAGCACTTGAGCTCTGCTTTTAATTGCCGCTTCAGGAGGGCTTGTCACAACACCCGGTGGGGATGCTGTCCCGAGTCCTGGGGCGGGAGGGAGGCAGGTGCGCCTGGCAGGCGGGCAGAGCCTCCTGGGGGGCTTCGGTTGCCTTGAATTTGGGAGCAAGAATGGATCCTCCCCTTGATAGTGTTTTCATTTTCTCCCTTTGACTTTGAGGTTCTTGGCTAGCGTGTGGGAACGGCCCACGGCACAGCCACGGCTCCCTGGGCAATGTGGCATCCCTTCCACTCCTGGCGTGGGCCAGTGGTTCTCCCAGGGACCTCAGCAGCCCAGGCTGCCCACACGCTTCTCTTTGGAGTAGATCCCCACAGGCAGGCGCCCCAGTCGGGACGGGGGGGAGGGGGGAGAGGCTCCCGCTGGGATGAGCGGCCTCCCTGCCCGGAAGCCCTTCCTGAGCTGCCTCCTGCATGCCGGCTCTTTCCCTTCCCCAGGGGGAGATCCGAGCAACGGCCTTCAATGACCAGGTGGACAAGTTTTTCCCTCTCCTGGAGTTGAACAAGGTACCCCGTGTGTGTGTGTGTGTGTGTGTGTGTGTGTCCGTGTCCGTGTCCGTGTCCATCCGTCCGTGCCTGGCTCAGCAGAGCAGCAGGCTCTCTCCGTGGGGGCCAAGGGGGGGAAGCTCCGCCTGAGCCGCCCACAGCTGGTCCTCGCTCAGCCTGCCCCCCCTCCTCTGCGCCCAGGTCTACTACTTCTCCAAGGGCAACCTGAAGACGGCCAACAAGCAGTACTCCTCCGTGAAGAACGACTACGAGATCACCTTCTCCAACGAGACGTCCGTCGTTCCCTGCGAGGACGCCGAGCACCTGCCCTCGGTGCAGTTTGACTTCGTGGCCATCGGGAACTTGGAAAGCGCCAGCAAGGACTCCCTCGTGGGTGAGCCAGAGCAGGCAGGGCCTCTCGCTCACTGGCCGGGCCCCGTGGGCGCAGGGCCCAACGGGGCCATCCGCCCTCTCAGAGGCCCTGCCGGCCTTTGCCCTGGGGGGCTGCAGGGAGGCTGCGCGGCCCCGTTAACAGCCGCGGCGGCAGGTGGGCCCCCAGGGAGCTCTGCTGCCCCAGGGAGCTCCCCCTCAGGGACCAGGCGCCCAGGGGCCTTCGAGGGCCCTCCCCACCCCCCACTGCGTCCCCTGGCCTCCCCTCTGGCCAGCGGAGCCTCCCTCCTTTTCGGCTGAGGAGGGCAGAGGACGGTGTCTTCCTTGGGGAGGGGCTCCAGGAGGTCGGCCCCTCCAGCCTGGCCTCTTGTTTCCCCAGACGTGATTGGGGTCTGCAAGAGCTACGAGGACACGCAGAAGGTCACCATCAAGTCTTCCAACCGGGAGGTCTCCAAGAGGGAGCTGCACCTGATGGACACGTCGGGCAAGACCGTGACGGTGACTCTCTGGGGCGTGGACGTAAGTAGGGGGGCAGCCGGGGCGCCGCTTCCCGCCCAGGCTGGGCTTAGAGGCTCCCGTCCCGAGGGAGGGAGGAGGGCCCGGTCTCTGCAGGGAAGGAAGGAGGAAGACCGGGAAGGGGGGCTTGACATCCAGAGCTCTTCTTGGCCCTTTAAGGGCGTCCCTGTTTCCCGGCCTGAGCCCCCCCCCCCCCCTTACCTCGGTCCATGCTGCTTTGCAGGCGGAGAAGTTCGATGGCTCTCGGCAGCCGGTGGTGGCCATCCGGGGGGCCCGAGTCTCAGACTTTGGCGGGCGGAGTCTCTCCGTGGTTTCCTCCAGCACCCTCCTGGTGAACCCCGATTGCCCGCAGGCCTTCAAGCTGCGGGGCTGGTGAGTTTGCTCCGCCTTCTCTGTCCGTGGCCGGATCCAGCCTCCCCCCCCCCCCC